TTCTAAGGTACCCAATCAGAGCAGCTATTAGTTGCTTGAACACTTATTACTGAGTCATTCAAACAGATGTTTCACAAATGTTATACATCTCATCTAAAAGAGATGTATAAATGTTTGACTGCATGTCAGTAACTAAGGCAGATATCTTCAAATGTTTAATGTTAAGTTTATCATATTACCCTCAAACATATTTTACTGTAGAAAAACAAATGAGTATGAATATGAGTATTGTTGATAAAATCTTAACAGAATTTATTTTAGTTAAAAGAAAGGAAATTAAACTAATTTTATAAAATGAGCTTAAATTCTGTTACAATCTTAAGTAAAAACGTATATATATTTTTAAGAAATTCAACACTTCATTGAAGAATTTAATCCAATTAAACTAACTTAACTGTAACTTGGGGGCTTGTAATTTATTTATTCTTTACCCTGTAAATATTCAGTTTCCAACCTTTCATCTTGGCGTTTCCACATGAAAGGGATCCCATGACTGGGATCGAGAAAAATCCACCGAGCAAAATGTCTCTCCATGTGAGATAAAAGAGCTGAGAGTGGCTCATTTGAAGAGATTACTGGAGGCCATCACTATTTCTGTTTCACCCCTCACCCCTCCCCAAAAAAATGTCTTGCCAATCTTTATGGTGGGTTGGAAAAAAACAAATCCACGTTGTAAACATGCTAATTTAGCGCATCAATAATTAAACCTTGTAATTTTTTTGGAGACCTGGAGGCTCCATCGCCTTGTTCCAAGTATTCATTAGTAATCCCATGATGCCTTGTATTATGTTGATTAACATGATGGAGTGTGTGTTGACGCCCTTAGCTTCAACGACTGATGTGTGTGTGTGTGTGTGTGTGTGTGTGTGTGTGTGTGTGTGTGTGGAGTCAAGAGCCATCTGTCTTGAAATATTTCAAGCCATGATTTTCAGGTTTTTATTTGCCAAAGATTCTGCTGCAGGTGTCCAGTTCACAGCTACACCACATGCTACGCAGCTCTATGCCATGCAACCTGGAATAAAAAGCAACAACCAATCAGAATGAAATGTTTCTGACTCGAAGCTGAGGCGCTTCAGCAGAAAGTGGGGAGTTTTCCGTGTTTACCAGCAGCTTGGTCCGGTCAGAGCGGCTGGACAAGAGGAACCTCCTTCCAACCCGGGAAGGACAAACAGGAATCTGACGTGGCGACACTGCCACCGTGTGGCCTGAGGGCGCAAATGCAGTAGCTTCAAGTAAAATTCATTTCTTCCTTGCGAACACTTTAACGACCCCTTAGACCAGCTGGTTCATTTCCTCACATCCCGACTGAGAACATCACAGTTGGTCTGTCAAAGTAAGCAGAGAAGAGGGAAAAACTGTAAACCGTAATGAAGTTACTGATTAACGTCTGCCTTAAGATGGGTGGCATTATGGCATGCCCTGCAACCTTTGCCCAGCAACTGACTTTATTATTTCGAAAAAAAAAGAAAAAAAAAGGTGGGGAAGAGGAAGGAAGACTAAAACATAAAGTAGCTTTTGCTTCCTTCTGAAACATCGGCTGTACAGGTAAGCTTTTTATTTACCCAATTTTGCCGTTTTTGAGCTACTTTGTTATTGTTATAATTGCTGCTATACAATAAGTGAAAAGTTTAGGATGTTAAGCATGAAAATTGCTGAAGAACTGCCAGACAACTTCCCAAACATCATGTGACTTTGAGTGGGAGCAAAATGTCTCCAGAAGCTAGAAATGCTGTTGGCTAACGTTTCCTTCAGCTTTGTATTGTTGACCAGGTATGTCAAGGTGGACACTGAGGCAGGAAGGAACAAGTAGATTGTAGTTTATTCAATCAAGAGTTCTTGAATAGGCTTTAAACTCCAGACTGATTGGTCAAACTTCACACTGAGACGGGGTAGAGTTGCCAAAAACAGCACTCAAGTAGTGAGCAGCATTATTTCAATATGTTAAGTAGAAGTGGAATGCAGTCAAAAAATACATAAGCATAATAAAGCCACTTAAGTTATGAGTAACTGTATGTAAAATAACAATAAAAAAAGAATAAAATTCTGGTATTGTAGGCCATAAAATGAAACTTGAATTATTAGAAAATAATAGATTCATGCAGAGAAAACACGTTTCCAATTTAAAAAAATAAATAAAATAATTGTAATAAATACAAAGCTTTGGAAACTGATACTTCCAGTAGTTAATGTTAATATGTTAGGACAGCTTGAATCATGTCGAGTGATAATATCTGTTCACTGTGTTTTCCACAAACTTAGCCAATAGAAAATAACATCAGAGCAATGAAGCTTGGTTACAATCCAGAAATCTGACTTTTATACTGAGTGATACTTCAAAGTAATTTTACTGAAGTAGAAATATAAGGTGCAGAGCAACAAAACTGCTAAGGTTTACTCCAGAATGTTTCTGGAGTAATTGTGCGGTATTGATAGCGTTTGTCCCTTCCTGATTCCCTTTTTTGTATCTTTCAGAACGTCAAACCAATTTCAATATGAGCTAAATGCAACACAATGGATCACAAAATCCAGTTTTTAAATGAAGTTGTTTATTTTAATGCAAGGGGAAAAAATCCAAACCAAATGACCTGTGAAAGAACCCACAGGGTTTTATTGGAGAAGCACGATATATCGGCTTTATCATCAGTATCAACCGATATTGGTCTTTTTGGTATCGGTAAATAAAAGTAGGCTGATATGAACAACTGATTTTGTTTCCATATCAGTTTGGAGTTTGTGTCTGGAGTGGGAGTGTAGGAGGTTGGTCATGAGATGGTGATGCAGCAAAGGCTTATGGGTAGTTTAGCTGAAGCAGAGGTGAAGTCAGTGGTGTGGTTGTTTCTTTCAAGGTGTCAAATGGGTATTAAAAATATTCAATATATACAATAAAGACAAATATCAGGTATCGATATCGGCACAAATTTTCATATCGGTATATCCCTAGTTTTTTGTATGACTGGACCAATCAGATCATGCCACTTACACAGTCACCAAAAGAGAGTTTTACACTAATTACAATAGAATAATTTGTTGTGTGACCATAAATTTGTGTTTATGAAATCAAATTAAATCCAATTCCAGCCGCGCTTTACTTCAATTTGGATCTTTCCTGTAATAATATCTTATTGCTATTTCTCCTTTAGGTTTGGCGGGACATAAAAATGGCTCCTTGGAGCAGCTGCGTCTTTGTGTGGATGTTTCTCGGTGTGGTTTTCTTCTCAAACGCTCGTTCTGCAACTATTCCTGATGTCCAGAACCTCAGAGGTTCTCAGAGACATCTTCTGGTAGAGACGGACGAGGAAACATCCACTGCTTACAGTTCCAATTTCACAAGTACGTAACAAACCACTCGATGTCCTCCTGTTAACGAACAACGACAGATGGAGATGCAGTTTAAATATCAGTTTTGATACAGTTCAGTTTTCTTGCTGTTCCACAGTAGCGGGAGCCACAAATGCATCCATCCAGTGGTCCTATCTGGCAGCGGGACTCGGTACGATCCTCTCCTTTTCACTCTTCGTCGTGTTGGCCATCAAGTTTCGACTCTTCCACCGCTTCCTGGCCAGCTACAGGCACTCCCTGCTCCAGGAGACCGACGGGGCCAGCCAGTACGGCCAGGAGGACACCTCGTACCCAAACGTGTCGGGCCAAATGGGAGTGATGGGAGGCACTGGGAGGGGAGGGGAGGACGACGACGATGGCTTCATCGAGGACAACTACATCCCGACCAGTGAGAAGGACAGGGCCGAGAGAGAACGCAGGGAGGGCAAAGTGGAGGAGATGGAAGACAGTGATGATGATGATCTGCACTTCAGCATTGGGTGATTATAGACGGAATTACAGAAAAACTGCTGGTTCATAACTCAGATTAATATTTTTTTAGAAACCATCGCAAAGAGTTTTTTAATATTTGTGTTTCTGCCCATTTGATGATAGTTTGCAGCCCATTTGGTCCTTGACCTATTTTAACTTTACCCAGTTTGAAACAAGAACCTCATAAAAGCTGCTGTAGGTAACTATTCTAAAAGAAAAAAAAAAGTTTTTACTTGCCACAGTATATTATGAGACAGATAATGTGTGAAAACAATCAAACTCCTCTGCCTTTTCCCAGGGCTAACTCAAGAAATACACCGCTCAGTCATACAAGCAATCAGAGAAGTTTTTATTTCCCAGACCAAAAGCAGACCATACCATTTAAAAATAAGAAAAATTGTCAAGTGAAAATCACAGATGCATCCATCACAAAACAAAGACTTTTTCACATAGTTAACTGTCCCATGGTGTTAGTGCAAAGCTCAGGAGTACGCGGCAGATGTCACAGTCGGGAAGGGGGGGAGGTTATCCCGTGACACCGTCAGTTCCCAAAACCACACACAAAAGCCACCTTGTAAAAGCACATGCAGGGTCAGTGCAAACTTGCTGCACAGAGTAAAAAGCTTGTGGGGTCCAAATGACCCCGTCTCTGAAGACCGCTGGAGAATGAAAAAGCTGATTAAGTTGATCGACACAATCAAACGACTCAATAATGTCTACTTGTAGTTCCTCAGTAAGACACAATCAGAGTCAGGCAGAGGGTCTTACCACTGTCAGTCATGCTTGTGTACGCGCTTGCCATCATCATAGCCTTTCATGAATGCTAAAGCTAGTTAGCATGGCCACTGATGACAGCTGATAAAAAGATTTACTGGAATGCTAAGTTGTTTCTCCGCCATTGGCACATATAGCAGCGCGTACCCAAGCATGATTGATGTCACCAAGACCCTCCCCTTGGCTCTGATTGGCTTATTTCTGGAGCGGTTTATTTCTACAACAGCTCATAGAGGAGGTGGAGGAATTTGATCTTTTCAGAGATTATCTGGCTCATAACGTACTGACACACCATGGTGACGGATTGAACAAATATGTAAAAAAACATATTTTTACTGCAACTTTAAAACAATTCAGTGAAGTTACAGCCTCAAACACTTCACCACACTGGGAAGGGCAGCAATGTTTTTTTTTTATTTTTATGACAAGCGTCTGGCATATCTACTGGCTCAGGTATTTCAGGTCTAGTAATAAAGTCGATGAGCTTGCAGTTGCACTTCTTGTACGCACTCTGACCTCTGATTGCACTTTTTTTCCCCTTTGTTCTTCAATTAAAATGATTTTATTCACGTATTTTCTGTTTTATGTAGAGCTTGAAGACCACACAAGCCCCCCCCCCCTCTCACCCCGATTATACTCAGTATAAACACTTTAAAACATTTTAATGCACATGTGAAAGATACGGATATGTTTTCAGAATGACTGAACTCTGTCTCGAGGTGATTATGTTTGAAAATGTAAAAACGAATCACGTTTGCCACACCTTGATGTTCACATTTATTTTTTACATTACATATATAAAATTTTCTCTGAATAAATTCATTCATTGCAATGTTCTAAATGACTTAAATTACATAAACTTTATTTACAATACCTGTGGAAAAAAAAAGAAAGTACATCCCTGGGTCTGCGGTGTCTGTTTTGGTCCCATATGTCTGTCTTTTTTTTCCATTCATCCAAACCAAAGTGATTCTGGCAAATTCTTTATTGGAAACCGTTTCAGTTGCTCTTGACCTTTTTTTTTTCTTCTTCTTCCCCCCCCCATTTTCCTCTTAATTATTTACACATTTAACAGATGAACTGAGGTCTATTGAGTTTCAGACTTGGTCCACTCCCTCATTGGTAAATGTCCCAAATGCTTTCCATTTCTGAATAATCTTTCCCTCTGCAGAAATAAATTGACTTTAAATTGTGTGGAAATTTTCCTCTTAACCATAGAATCTATCGGCAATGAGAGGAGATGTCAGCGTCTTATTCAGGCGTTGGAACGAAAAGCCCCTTATACTTGGGAGCGGCTGCATTTTGGGGAAAAATTAGGAGTCATACATTTTACAGAAAAGCTACGGATTAAACACACAACTTTTTATGAACTGTGTAATTGCTGTGAGAGCCCTGGTGGAGCCAGAAAAAAAAAATCATCCACTTCCTGTCTTATTCTTTGTCGTTTCCACCAGTAGAGACATCTGGCTGTTAATCATGTGACTCACGTGATGTGATAAAAGTGGGTCCACTGCAGTTTTGCAAAATACATCGCTGTCTAAATTGCCATGTTTCCATTAAGCAAACCTGTTTTCATGATTTCAATTTGCTTTTACTTTGACTAATGGAAACGCGACTACTGAAACTTGTAATAAGATTCTCATCTTTATTACTTAAGCAAATTGCAAAGTTTCTATTCCAGTCCAGTGCTTTGTCCTTGTGTTCTGGTCAGTTTGGTCCGTTCAGATCAGACTTGTCCTGCTGGTAGACACGTCTCTCCTGGCTTGACTCGTCTGTCGAGGCGAAACGTTGAACATTCGGACGCCGTGACCCCCCAGCCTCCTCGTGCTCCTGACCCTCAGTCTCCTCCTCATCCTCTGTTCCCTTCTCCTCTTGAGATGCACCATCACGCCGTACCCCACAACGGCCAGGCCCGTACCGGTGCCGGCAGCCACCAGTACCACCCCGGACACCAACATTTCCCTCCTGTCATGGCTCCGGCCGCCCACCATGGCCACGCAGAGCAGGACCGTCCCGCACAGCGTCACCGCCAGCCCCACGGCCAGGATCAGCGCCGGATCGGCCCTCCCTCCGCTCCGCAGCCGCTCAATCTGACGGCGACTGTGAACGCAGTTCATGTCCTGGATGGCAGAGCTCAGGAGCTGCTTGAGCAGAACGGCGAGGGCCAGGAGGCAGAGCGTGGTCCCCACTCCAAGACGCCACTCCACGGAGAGGCTGTTAGTGGTGGAGAGAAGCCCCACTCCACCAAGGCCCAGTCCCAGTATGAGTGCCACTGAGGCACAGTAGCAAAACAAGGACCGTCTGGGGTCTCGGAACCACCAGAACTGCACTTCTTCCTCCAGCATGTGCTGCTGCGCGACCAAGGGGCCCAGGTAGAGGCTTGGGGGCCGACGCATGCTGTAGTAAAGGCTCTGCATCTCAGGCATGGCACGCCAAGACTCTGATGCTGTATTAATGCTCAGAATGCAACACTTTAACCAGACTGAGGTCTATATTCATGAAAAAAGTTTTTAAAAAATGCAGTTTTATGTGTTTCCTAGACACATAGTACTATTTCATATCCCAATCAAGTAACATTCAGTTGTTATAAAAATGCTACATATATCAAATATGACTTAAAAGAAATTTGATTTTGTAATGTAACACCTTGGAATTGGGTCTCTGTCTCTTTAAGAAACTCCTTCACTTTCTGAAACTCCGCCTTCAGGACGTCATCACAACTTTAACAGTGTTTTTAGGAATGTTTTACTGATAAGTAGCTCCTATAACGAGCTCAGTACATGTGCAGTTCCACCAGGTGTTGGCTAATTGCTGATGGCTAGTCTGAAGGAGCTGAGTGGGGAAGCTCTGAAGCTTGGGAGCTGTACGTCTGAGGTGGAGCGTCATCCTTGAATGCGGTGTTAGGTCCCACCAAGAGTTTTGCGCAGCTGAAGTGTTGCATGGGAGATTAAAAGATTTCTCAAACATGCATGGAAAAATCAAAGCAACACTCCAGGTGTGTCTCCGATGAGGGAATAACCTTATAACATAATCTAAAGCTCAAAAAAGTCGATCTTAAACAATAACTGTTGCTTCAAATCGACTTGCTCAGTTTTTTGACAATCGTGTGTCGTCCATCCCTCTGCATCTTTGGTCAAATAATAGTTCGGAACATTCCCCAGTTGCTAGGGTTTGGTTTATTCCTTACATAGGATGATGCTCATTCGCAGTTAAAAACAACTTTTCCTAAAAGAACAACATCCAGTGGTCCAGTAGCCTCCTCATCTGCAGCAGCGGGTTGAAAAGATGTTGAGTGTGAGAGAATCCTGATCCCAAGCTGAAGGCAAAGGACTGAAGAGGATCCAGCAGTGCAGAGCAAAGAGACTGACACAGTGTGAATCTGTCTGGAGGTAGAGAAACCGCGGCGATATTTACGCAATCCCTGTACATGGCCGTCCTCTGAGTTTTCTGACCGTACCGCTGTCACCGATCGACGGTCTGCGTCCTCTCTACATTCTCCACCCCGGTGCCAGGCGGACCCTCACCCGCCCCTCTCTCATCATCACGCAGCAACTTCCATCCCGTCTGGTTCAGTGGGAAAAAGACGGGTCACAGCAGCCCTGTTGGATCATGTTTGGACACAGAGATTGGTGACATCGTCCCATTTTGCCCCAATGCAGACGAGGGAACACAATGACTGCACTACAGGAGGCAGGCAGTGGAGGGTGTGGGGGACCTGGGGGGGGGGGTCCCGGGGCAGCGCCCTGGAGAACCGAGTGATGTCAGTGTGAAGTGATAATGGTGTGTCTGTGATCCTGAGCATGGCGTCATTCACACACTGAGCTGGACTCACAGCGCCAATTGTATCTGCTTTACGATGCGCCAATAGGATTTACTCAAATGAAATAATTTGATAAATATTCTACACTGTTTGCTTTATGCTTTTATTTTGAATCCACAGACTTAGATGAGAACAAAACTTAAACACTGATTAAAGGTTGGTACACAAACATTATACTGAAGTAAGAGTAGCTTTACTTCATAATAACATTAGTCAAGTAAAAGTAAAAAGTACAGCGTAGTAAAACTACTCCCTAAAGTACATATTTTCCAAGTAAATGTAATTAATAAATGTAACTGACTAAATATAGTTACTAGTTACTTTGTTTATGGTGCAGGACGTACCTGTCTGCTCTCTATAGAGAATCAAATTTGTCTGTCTAATGAGAAAGGGGGAAAAAAATCTGGGCTTTCAGTCTACCGTTATTGTGGTTCACCCAGCTATAACTAATGGACAGATAACGCAGTTTTAAACTCAAACAGAGCTCAATCAATTATTCCTCTTGAAGAACTGCTGAAAAATGAAATCTGCAGTTTGCTACTGGCAGAGATCTGGTTTCTTCTTGTTGCGTCTCTGTCTCCTTATTCATTTTTTATGAATCCTCTGATTGAAATTAGAAAAACAAATGCCATGGGCAACTTTTCCCAACAATTGAGTAGAGAAATAAGGCATTCTTCTCATAAATTTTCCCCCCAGTTTGGCAACAAATTGACACTGTAACTGAAAGACACACAAAAGAATGAACACATCGCCTTTCTGCTTTACATGGACAGAATTAGACAGCATGAGGTTCAGAATTGCTTCTTGTTAGACAACTTTATAACTTTGCTTGTCCAGCTAGCATATATAAAAATGCTAGCTGGCTAGAAATGTAAAAATGTCTAGCCAAAAGGTTTGTCATATTTTTAGTAACTTATTCATAAAGTCGACATATTCAAGTATCTGTTTGTGTTCCTATGACATGTAGAATTATTGTTGATTTTCCCGCAGGCTCCACAATTTGTCTAAAAATAATTTATGAAACTGTCACATTGAGAGCCGTCAACAAAAAACATTCAGCAGTTGTCTCCCGTTTCAGATTTTTGTGGACAGTAAGCAACCACCAGGGGGCAGCAAAAGCTAAGTTTAAACAGCCTCACGGGATACACAGCAATAACAAATTCTACTCAGCAGATTGTATTGTGAAAGCAGGTTTCTGGCTTTAAACTATTGCAAAATCCACATAAAGACACACAATCTGAAAAAACAAATGGCTTTTAGGCTTAACTGCACACTTCAAATTTGTTTGTGTCTTGGCTCAGGCTTCTCTTGCGTTACATCAAGAATTCTGCATTAATCAAACAGTGAATAAAAATACAAATAATAATAAGAATTTTATATATCAATGTTATTTTACTCCAGTAAGTAGCTTTAAAAAGTGAATGCCATTGAACATTTAAACTCATAACACATAGATTGGTATATTTCAGAAAAATGCAATGTTTCTTGCTCGCGTCTTGTCGTCATGAGAGTTGAGGTGTTTAAATCCATTCCCAGGATGATGAGCTGCTGTGGGGTCCAAAATTCTCACTTGCTTTCTGAGGTAAATCAACAATAGTTGCTTGAAGACCTCCATAAAAATTGAGATCTCCAGGCAACAGGTACAAGGGAGCCTTTTTTTTTTGTAGAAATTTACCAGAATCGGCACCAAAAAGTAAGTTTTAAACCCAAACTGCTGACAGTGTTATGGTCAAAACCTTCACAAGACTTTAGTTTGTTCTATAAGCCAGACTCTTAGCTGGATTAACATCATGTTGAAAGTTTGTGACACACACAATAAATCAGACAGCTGAGATCAGATCTGTGATCACAAAAATAGAAGATGTTCTGAAATATTTTACACCTAAGACAAAATGTTTTCGGTTACAACAATGTGTGCATTTTTGATGAACAAAAAGTTATTCCACCTCCAAATGGTGAAAAGAAAAGCACCAAATCACTGAGAAGTGAAATAAAAGCCAATCATTAGCTTTTTGCAGCAGGTTTCTGTCAGCCTCTCAGCAGTCAGAGTAGCAGTGAAGGCAGCGTGGCGACACGTTTCACTGAAAAATGCCAAAACATTTGTTTTCAACCTCGGTGAACTTTATTCACATGTTTATGTGAACGCCTGACAACAACTTTTTGTGTTTTCATGATATAAAGCACTTTGAATTGCATTGCTGTTGAAATGTGCTGCACAAATAAACTTAATTTACAGACTGAAGAAAGCATGTCACATCTGTGTCTGTCTGTCTTTTGTTCCATCCAACCATCATTCCAGAACAAGACACCAAGATACTTGAACTCAATACTTGAGTTAGGAATTGACCCCTGACCTTTGATGTCAACCTCCTTTTTTTGGTGGAATTCATGGCACCAGACTTAAAGCTAACTACTCTGGAATCTAAAATAGGTGAAGTCAGTCTAAGTCTAGTCAGTACACAGCCGGATATCTGGGAAAACAAATACATTTTTAAGCGTTTTGACCTTTCATCCACACGAAAATTATGTAGTCCTGCTAAAAACGATTATCAAAACTCCAACCATTTGTTTGAGAAAACTTTGTATTCACGTATGCGTAGGAATGCGACAAATAATGGGCCATTACATCCATATATTTGCTTTGACATGATTCCCAATCGACATCGTCTTGTGTTTTATTGACTTCATGTTCAAGTAGCTCAGCCTTTTACATCTGTCCACGCAAATCAACCTACTAGCGCCATGTTCAATTCCTAACAGGAAGTGGTGGTTGTTTTGAAGCAACCTCATTGGCTGACAGGTGCTAGCTTGGTGCTACACTGCCCCCTGTAGGTTTGACATATTTAAAACGACACTGTGGCATATTTGTGCAAGGTTCATATGGATAAAAACCTTTCTGAAATCAATCCCAAGTGTATGATATTATTTTTTTAAACGATGCGGCGGAGATATGAGTTGTTTTTTTTTAAAGATTCAGTGACATGCTTAATGTTTACAAGGCATGAGAGCAATTCAAGAATCTTAATGGCAAGTGGCTATAAAATATGGCAAACCATGCTAGGGTTAGACAAAGGGACTCTCCCAGACTCCTTGTGGTTGATCAATAGCTTCTATACCTGAAAAATCAACTGGAATGCTCTTCCATGTTGGTTCACCCCCTGCCCTCAAGGAGACAAATAAAGATGGTGGCTGTGTGAGTTGGGTTGTCCGGCTTTCTCAACACTTTATTATTCAAACCTGTTAAAGGACATAAACCGGAAAGGATTAACTGAAAATTTAAGCTAGCTAAATTCAACAGTGTGATTTTAATAAAGGTGGAAATAATGTAAATATGTAGTTCTCGTATTTCTCAACAACAGTCTCAACGGTCTTGAAATCTAATTATGTTAGTGCTTCAAGTCCCTCTGTGGCTACAGCCATGATACCTGTCAGGACCTGCGCCGGCAGCTGATTGAATGTTGCAAAGAGAGAGAGAAAAAAAAAAGTCCCACTAGACCTTTGTGCTTGCTCAGCACATTTCCTTCAAAGACCAAAGGTGGACCCGGTCAGACATTTCCTGCAGGCTGTTCACGTCAGAAACAACCTGGGTTCCTGTGCATTTCAACACGCTCAGATTGTACATGAGGAAAATGGTGTCTCTCCAGCTGCATGCTTTTGGAGCTAGATAACATTATTGGGAACCAAGAAAAGAAAAAAAAGATTTATTTTCTGATTTTTTCCCCCTCCTCCCACAATGTGGCATTGAGATGATTCACACCACAACAGCCGTGATGCAAATGAGAAAAGATGAAGGATTTTGTTGTGTGCTGAAATTTATATAGAAGCTAATGGACTTCCCTGACCTTTTTTCTTATATATAGTGTTCCCAGCTGGTTGGCTGAAATGTTCAGTTTTATGATGATAAATCTGCTTCATTACAGCTAGAAATAGCTGAAGGAAAATCATCGGAGCTTCCCAGGTGATGTTTCCGAGCGCCTCGTTTCCCTGGTGCATGATGGGTTCTGGGGGATACGGTAGCTTCAGGGTCGGCTCTCACCGTAGAACAGATTAAAAATAATTACAGGAGTCAAGTTTTTGCTCAAAATTTCACCACCAAGAACAGCTATTGTTAAAAAGAGCATTTCCTTTGCATTTGACTTTTAGTTATGTTTCATATCAGCCTGTAGAGGTTCCATCTATTACAAAAGTTTTTATTATTTCCCCCCCCCCCCCAACAAAAAACGAATTAAATTTGAAATTTGTTTTCAATGTAAAATTGTCAAAGGACTTCCCTTTTTAAATTTTGTTTCAAAGAGACTTTGAGAATCTGTTTGTAAAGTGAAAACAGTTCTAAACAGGTTTGATGAGGTGAGCGGCTACATATTACAATACATCTGTAAGCACACAGTAACAAGATAACAGTGTGCAGTAGTCTCACGAGAATAGTTAAGCTAAGCTAGTTAGCTTACCAGGTAGTAACTTACTGCCAGTTTCCATTACTGGTAGCTTACCACTACCAGTAAGCAGTATGCTGGCAGTAAGCTGGGTTAGGTTAAGTTACTAGTAAGCTAGTTAGTACGTTAACTAGTAAACTAAATATTTACGAGCTTGCTATTGGTAGACTGAAATAACTTCCCTAATGTCTGTCAACCCATTTGAAAAGCTATCTTCATCCCTCTTTATCGTTGTCTGTCTCCCGTTTCTTTTTGTTTTCTGCTCTGAGTTTTCTTTCCCACCTTTCCATTGTGAGCTCCCTGTCGACGAAAACATAATTCAAAAGAAAAAAGGTAGGAATGATTTTTCTGACATCATTTTGGATCTCCATCTAATGCAGTCCTCTCTGTTGCATATAGTTCTTACCAAGTTTTTCGCACCAGAAAGTTTGATCAATGGGTCTTCAA